GCCTTTCTAGCTTTGATATCTGGAGCTCCAAAAGCCACATTCTTTCCAATGTTTTGAAGTAAGAATCCCTCAAGTCTTTCTTCTTTGTAACCTAGTAGAAAATAAGAAAAAAGTAAAAGGGGTTTGGCGTGAGTTTAAATAGTAACACAAATAAAATCAGTTAAAAAATATCTCCTCATCATGAGAGACAAGAAAATGACTACTTAAGGTGCAACATGCAACAAGAAAATGACTAATTAGGATATGAATTTCTATCCTAATCGTGTCTATCTATCTAGCCTAATCATATTTAGTCCTTGTGCTAATTAGGTACCCTTGTGCTAGATACAAAAAAAAAGTGGAAGGATCTCATAATTTGCAGGACAAGCTCGGCTTTATTAAATTGAAATGGATACAGAAGTTTTACCCTAGTTACACTTGCTTGCTTGCTTGTTATGCATATACGCTCATATTTTCATGTGTTTTGAATTTTATACAAATGGCATTGTGCTGAGGAAAAAAAAAAATGCCAACAAGACCTTGTTAATCCTTTACTTGGTTTGTGATGAATTGAATGTTCTCCTAAAATTTTGGGATCCTGTTTTGAGGGATCTGTATATAGTTATGATACTTATGTGCATGTGCGCATTGCTTTTTCTTATACACGTTTCTTTCCCTCTGGTGCAGGAATGGCTGCTTATGTGATTTAGCAACAGAACAATTGCTTTTTGAAGTTTCCCAGGCTCTTTATGATGCTATAGATTTCGACAGACAGAACAGTTAATTTCTCGTTTTGTTGAGCTGGTACGCAAGTCCCAGTTATATTATTACGAAACCAATGAGTACTTGCTCTTTTGTGTCAAGTTGGTCGATTTTGACTCCACTTTTGATGCTTTGATTGATCATGGGGTAGAAATGGAATGCCATCTGATGTTTTTGGCGGAGTGTCGCGAGGCCTTTAATGGGATACATAAAATTAAGGTCAGCAAAATGTGTATTATTCTTTGGTATCAGTTTTAACTTTTAATACTTGTAGACGCCTATACCCGTGGAGGACCCTGTATATTTCCAGTCTTGTGCGTTTTTTTTTACTTCTTAAAAAGAGTATTAGTGATGGTGCACATCTATTATCTAGTCCTTTCTTGCTTGGTCATGACTCATATTTAGCCTTGAATTTGAGGGCCAAGCAGCAATGCATTTATGACAAGAGGGGAGTGCATATAATATTATATCATAGCTATAGAGAGGGAACATAGAGTATTATGGATTCTTCATTTATTTGCATACGAGGTTGACACAAACAAAATTATTTGGCTCAGTGTTGTGATCATTTTTACTGAGTAATGGTCACTGGCTGCATGATATACTTGTCCATTCAAGCAACACTAAAAGCAGGAATGAAGCATATCAACTTTGTAAAATCTTGCCTAGCATTTACTAAAGTGACCATCCCATATGATTTAACTCCCATATAACACTCAAACTGCTGAGGTGATGTCTTTGTCTTTTCCAGTCCTTACACTCCAACTTCAAAGTATATACGTACTGAAATTCGTATTATATGTTGCACTTTTACGTGGTTTGATTTCGCATTGAGATGGCCTGGTCATGTCAGCTGTTGAGTGCTAGAGAATGCAGCCCTGACAAATGGTAATTTTATTTGTCCAGATATATTTAGTTTAACGACTAGATACTAGATTAACAAGTGAGAAGTAATAAAACTAGTATGTGAATTGTAGCTGCCCTAAAACAAGTTAGTGCGAAGAGATCACTTGCTTTAAATTTATAGCTTATTGTCAATTTTATGGTTGGTTGTATTTTTTTCAAGTGTAGATCATTATCTTTGTTCTTCATCACTCTAGTTTGGTAGGCTACATTTTATATCTTTCCATTCTTCGGTTGTTCATTAGGGCCTTATATTTTGTTCTCTAGATAGTTGTATGTATATGCCTTATTGTTTTGTAGATGGATATGGATTTGCATTTTGACAAATTGGTGAGTGAATGTTGGTTAATCAAAATCTGTGTTCTGGTAACTCTTATTTTGATTTTAACGAGTTTATTCTTCATCAACAGTTGTGTAACACTTGATTTTGGAATATGTTTTATAAACATTGAATTAGTGTTGTGTATTGCTTGCTTCTGAGATAAATTAGTGTTGTGTATTGCTTGCTTGTGATTTAACCGTAGCCAGAGAACATGTTAGTTCTGATTGTCACAAATGTTGGGGATATTGTAACTGATTTGTTTACAGATGAGTTTCCTATGCCTTGGAAGTAACTTCCTCAATCTCTGCAAGAAAAGTGTCTATTCACTCAGTAACTTATTTTTTATTTCTTTTGCTAGAATAAATCATTACCGTGGTTGCCTATTCAACATTGTGCAAAAGAACTTGAGAGCAAAGATGAGAGGTTGTGAGTTCTATATCACGCTTTCGGAAGGTTTCTCTGTATTCGATGGGAATGACAAGGTAAGCACAACAGTCGTCCTTATTTGCTACACAATTACTTTTTAACTGCTCATTATTTCTTTTATATTACGTATATGTTTCAGCTTTCTGGGGAGGTTGCTGAAGGACTCGAACTGTTGAAGAAGATAAATCTAAATCTTGCTCACAACAAACCAATTGAAGAGCTGAAAATAGAAGAGTTGTGTATTCTTCTAGATCCGTTTGACAATCTAGTTGAAGAAGAGTCCAAACATGAAGAGCGGCAAGAAGATGATATGTATCTTTCTCGTCAGGAACTCGAGGAGCTTTTTTCTCTTGAAATAGCTAGCAACATGCTGATAATTCGCAATCTGAAATAGCTAGTAACTAGTCTATACAAAAGAAATCATTGACAAGAATTAAAACATGCACATCAAGAAAATTCAATCC